AAATCTCTGTATGAAAGATAATTTTGAGAAAGGTTTGCCCTAGACGGCATTGCCAAACATCAATTTTGTTTTGAATAGCAATATTGTCAATAGAATTACAAACAATAGATGCTGATTTATTACATTTCAAAAGTGAACTGGTATTGGAAGGAACTATATGAATGGGAGAAACTTGTTGGTGAAGAGATGATGACTAATCATTGCATTGGTACTTAGACGGTTGAAGATTGTAAAGTCCATTTTCAAGTCTGCCTTCCCCAATCATCCTCCATGTTGAAAGATCCTGAACAAAACAATGATTACGATTGAATATGATGAAACAATTGTGTTGACTTATCAATTTGCTAGCAGAGATCAAGTTGAATTGGAAAGATGGCACAACTAAAATATTCTTCAATATTAAATCATTAAACAACTTCATTGTCCCAATATATGTTGCTGTGGCGATGGAATTATTTTCACAGAGTATTAATTTTTGCATCATAGTAAACAGATGTTTGATAGAACAAACCATGTGCTCTGAAGCTCCTGTGTCCAATATCCATTTTTTAGCATTTATGGAACCATTAAGACATATACGATTATTGGAGAAGGCAAAAGCTTCCGGTACTTGAGGTGGTGATGAAATCATTTGCTGTTGACTATTAGTAGAGATTTGCTCCTTTAGATGTGGAGCAAGCATAGCTAAGATCTGTTGACACTGCCCTGGAGTGATGGTAATGCTTGATGAGGAATTCACAACATCAGAATTAGAGCTGTGAGATGCTGAACCAACAGCATTAGCAACAGGATCCTTTCCTGTAGCTAGCCTGTGACTAGGAGGATAACCAATTATTTTGTAACATTTGCTCCTAAGGTGTCCAATCATTCTACAGTAATTACATATAGGCTTGTCCTTCCTCTATGACTGATTAAACGAGTGAGTCCTTTGATTGGCAAAGGAGTTGTGAACCATTCTACCAGCAAAGGCAACAACATTAAAATTCTGCTGTTTCTTAACAACTATTTCCTTCTGCCTTTCATCTTGTAGAATTAGGAAAAAAAAATTATTTATTGGGGGAAGTGGATCCATTCGTAAGATCTGACTCCTTGCGTTCGAGAATTGGTCATCTAATCCATTAAAAATTGCATGACTTGATCCTCAGATTTGTAATCAACCTTATTAACACAAGGTCTATAATTTTCAAATTCTTCCCAAAGTCCTTTCAATCTATTGAAATATAAATTTACAGAATTGTTTGTCTAAGAGATAGAAGCAATTTGCTTCTTAATTTCATATATTCTAGGACCATGACCTTGGCTATACCGATCTTTCAACTCGATCCGGATCTGTCTCGCTGATTCTTTGTGCATCACACTTGGGTATAATTCTTTTGGAATTGAATTAACAATCCATGAAGAAACCACATGGTTACATCTCCTCTAAGCACGATGAAAAACATCTCCCTGAGGCGGTTCTACAATGGACCCATCAATAAACCCTTATTTGTTCTTCACACTAAGCGCCATGGTGACTGCACGGCTCCATGTTACGTAATTATCCCCATCGAGCGTGACTAAAATGAACTGCATTCCAGTGTTATCCCCATAATGTAGATAGTATGGGCTATTTGGATCACCGATCAACCTATTCATAATCGAAATTACATTTTCAGTAGCTGTTTCTCCAGTAATACGATCGGCTGGAGAATTTACCTTGATCTCTGCTTGAACTTTAGAATCCTTTGCCATCAGTGTGTGGACGTTTCAATGCTCTGATACGATGTCAAAATTAGAGAGAGAAGAAATGGAAGAGAAAAGAAATTGGAGGGAAAATCTATTTTATTCCAATCAATAATCAGAAGAGTACCAGCTTGACATAGACT